TCATGGTCCTTCCGGTTTCCTCGACAGGTTTAAGGGGCTCAAGCCGACTATTATCCTTCTCTCCCGAGGAATTTCCGACGCTGAAAGCAGCTGGAGGGCAGGACAAGGCTGGCAGAGAAAAGGGCGTCTTAGATCTGTCGTATGGGCCAGGACCAAGCCTCCGCCCTCAGAGTAAGTGACGGGGAGTGGCAGGGTGGATAGAGGACCAGTAACTGCAGTCCTGACTCCAGACTTGTTCCCTAAGCTGGCGGTTTCCAGACACAGCTGAACCATGTCACAACCACTTGGGGAGTTTGTCAACATGTCCGCTTCACAACACACTGCCAGATTAGAACCTGTTCGTAGGCTTTTCGGTTTTTGCCATGTGGCGCTTACCCAGGGCGCTCACCAGGGATGAGGGAAGTGAAAAATCACTCCCTAGGGGGATGGCAACGCCACAGTCCCTGCTCTGTTCTCCTCTTGGGATTTTGAGATGCACGCATACACACTTGACTTGATTTTCAAGCCACCAGGTCTAGGACTTGAACCGTGGTCAGCCATGTGGGATCCAGCACCTTAACCTCTATGCCAGCTGTTGGTCCCGTAGAGCTTGTATTTTTAACGCATTCCTCTCAGAGTTGTTACCCGGCCATTCTAGCATGGGTCTCCACGTCCCCTCCCCTGGTGTCGGGCCAAGGAGGGCAGGACTGACAGTACCGCTTGCTGGAGGTTCTTTTTCCTAGAGGCCTTGGGTGTTTAATTTTTTTTTTAAAGAATTATTTTATTTTTAACTTTATCTATCTGTTTATTTTAATAATTTTTTTTTGAAAGAGAGAAAGCGAGAAAGCAAGCCCTCAGGTCCAGGACTCAAACCACGGTTGTCCATGTGGGAGTCCAGCACCCTTAACCACTATACTCCCTGCTGGCCCCGAGGCCTTGGGTGATTTAAGGTGATGTTTAGACGTGAGACTTGTGTTCTCCTCAAGGATTTTGAAGTGGCCCATGTTTTTTAGGGGTGCTTGAGGAGGTTGTGCAATAGGAAGGGCTTTTGTTTGCTTGTTTCGATTCATCGCCAAGGCCTTTCCTATTTATGATTCAAATTCCAAGTCAGAATCCATGTTCCATATATATATATATATATTTTTTTTTTTTTTAAGAGAGATTTTTTGCTATCAGGTGTGTGTCTTTGCTGGAAAGACAGAAAGTGAGAAATCACACATACACACACCTGGGGGGAATGGCTGTGCCATAGTCTCTCCTCTGCTCTCCCTCAGGATTTTGAGCACATAGGCACACCTGCCTCGTGTGAGTTAGAAGCCACCGGGTCTGGGACTCAAGCTGCAGTCAAGTATGTGAGAGTCCAGCATCGTAACCGCTATGCCATCTGCTGGTCCCTCCCATATGTTTCTTTTTTCTTTTCTTTTTTTTTTTTTAATATAAAAAGAGTACTTTAATTCTTTTCCTCAGAAATTATAAAGACTATACATGATTTGGAAATGAGACTGTACCAAGCAACAGCCCAAGGAGAATCATCCGTTCTCCACCTTCTCTCTGGTCTGGTCACTCAAGTGTCATGTTCCCGGCTCCGATTGTGGCTGCCTGCCGTCTCACGTTATTTTTATCCGTGTATTCCCATAGTCCACTTTGCCTGCCACGTAAATTCGAGACCCCTTTTTCACATACTGATGTGCCACGTCTCTGAGACCTGGCCGGAATACTGGTACTCTGTGCACGTTGGCTTTTGACTGACATCGCCCATGTGGTAGACGTCATTGTCCCCAGAGTGCCACATCTCATTTGTTGCCAAAGACAATGCTGTGACTGGATGTCTTCCTTCCACCTGTCTCACGACAGGGTCCTGACCCACTCGCCTATAACTGCACACGATCCAGAGATCTTTCCGGAATCGAGCTGCTATTTCAGATTCATGTCCTACACACTGACGAAGTACCTGTAGTAGGTCTTCGAAACATGGCTTCTATTTTCTTGTCTTACAATCTAATCTTTAGGTCTTTCCTGACGCTCTAGCCCTGACAGCCTCCAACCCGTGGGTCCCCTCCCGTACATTTCTGACGACCGTGTAATTGTCCATGTAAAACAGCCATCTCCCAGTGGCCTTGCAGTGTGTTTTGTTTGTTCCAAGTGCACCATCAAATTTAGTAGGATCCAAATTGCATCTTTCTGGGATTAATCAGGATGAGTTGCTTTGTGGGACTTTAAACGTTTAGAACTATAATGAAAGGAACTTCTAGGATCCACCCCCTCTTTTCACTTAAGACGAGGAAACAGGTGGACTGCAGAGGCCTTACCTTGCCCCAAATCCCACTGTAGAGCAGCCAGGGAACTGGGACAGAACCGGTCTTGTGGCTCTGGTCCCCGTTCGGTGTTTCTTAGGGAGCTGCACACCTCTGAGACCTTTGTGTTTCAGCTCCTAGCAACAAGCTCCCCACTCTCTGGCCTATGGTAATTCCCACTGGTATTTACTGTTGATAAAATTGGCCATGGAAAGCGTCATCTTCAAAAGATAGGTTGGACCAGCAGGTGGCATGCTGTTTGGGGCACTGGATTCCTATGTGGCCGAAGGTGGTTCAAATCCTAGATCCAGTGGCTCGGGAGTCATACTGGCCGAGTGTGTGTGCCCAGAGTCCAGAGAGGAGAATGGAGGAAAAGGGATTGCAATGTGCCCATCCCCCTCAGGGAGGGGGTGATTTCTTTTTTTCCCCTCTCTCGATCTTTCTCCAGGGAGTGTAAGAAAAGTCAGGTCTGTGGGCTCCAGTCTGTGACTCGCCCCACTGGGGTGAGAGCCACTGTGCTTTCCAGCGTGCAAACCAGGAGCCACACACGAAGGCACCGCTGCTGGGCAGAGGCTGGCGCGGCGCCTGCTGTTGTAAAGTCCAGTGTGCGTCTGCCGACTCTGGGGTCTGGGTCCGCGTTTGTCGAAGGAGCGGCCGGCTGTTTTCTCAGAAGGGCTGTCTTAATCTCTCTGGGCAAAAAGATCTGTGAGTGTATGTGATTCCTCTCAATAGGTGAAGCCATGTCTTGGGACACTCGCCTTCTCTCTGAGTCGATCTTATTTTGTATGTGCCTCACGGTCAGACTCCCTCAGCAGTTCCCACTCACGGGCCAGGTGTCTGTCCCCAGCCCTCCCTGACAGACTTGACAGTCCTTCACTTTATTATTTTTTTTGGTGAATGAGGAGGGTCTCTTGACCTTCAGAACCTCATACAATCCCCCCTTCCCCTTCCTCTTTCCTCTCCCCTTTCGCCCCCTTTCAATTTCCAGATGTGACAAGCTGGAGGGAGGGCGGTGGGCGAAACATAATTTCTGCCACGTCTCTGAGCGCCTCCCCGACTGAGCTGGGCAGCAGGAAGTCGAGTACGGGAGACGGAGCCCCCTCCTCGGCATGTACCAGCGACTCTAAGGACCCCTCTCTCCGCCCGGCTCAGCCTGTCCGCAAAGGGGCTTCACAGTTCATGGGAAATGTATACCACCCACCTACATACCATGACATGCTTCCTGCTTTTGTAAGTCTTCAGAGTGTACACTTTTTCCCATGAAGTTGGATCGTTCATGTCCAGCAGAACCCAGATCGAGTGGTTGGATGTCCACCACGGGCCCTCCCTCCCAACCTCACTCATGGCCCTGAGGCCCTGCTTTGGAGGTTTCCATTAGTTTTGCATTTTCTTTCCCCCTTTTTAAATCTCAAGGGCCTCTGGCTTCATTCTCTGGTGATGTGGATGTTACTTTAGTCTTGGTTCTTGAGAAGAAGGAGAGGCAGGAATTCCCAGACACGAGTCCCCCAGTTGACATACTAACAGCAGGAAATAAGTGGGGGAGATGGTGGTCCGAGTAAGGGGGAAACCCCGAGACTTTCCTGTTTCTGTTTCCCATTTTCCACTTTCTGAAAGAAATTCTAATTTAAATGGACCGTCAGCCATCACCAGAAAACCCCATTCCTTGGTGTTATGTTTCAGATGTGTTCGCCACAGTCACCAGAGAACCAGGGTCCAGTGGAACGAGGCTCTTTCCCCCTTCCTCAGCTCCGCCTTGAGCCCCGGGTTCCTTTTAGACAGTTCCAGATGAATGAGCAAGACGGGTAAGGCCACTGCGTTATCGTCATGTGCAGGGATTTCTTGTCTGTTGGTGATGCTAGTGAAGATGTAATGGGCTCATGAGAATCTGAAAGGTGTGTGGCGAGGCGGGGCCTGGGGCTGGGCGGGAGGCCGAGCTCGTGCAGAGCTGAGCGGTGCCCTGGCATGTCCAGTGCTGCCAGCCCAGGCACGGCGGAGAGCAGGGAGCTGCAGGACCAGGCAGCGCTTCTTAGGGTGTGCTCGTTCTAAGAACGCCATTGCTAAATGGGGACCTTTGTAGCATAGAACGTAATTTTGGTTGTCACTTCCATCTGTTCACTGACTGGAATCCATCATCTTTACTTTTCTGTCTCTCATCAGAAAAGAAAACCGGCTGGGAATGACCCGCCCAATGCGTCCACTGAGGCAGCTGGTGGAACGGGCGCCCCGGCCTACCATCATCAACGCTGAAAACCTGAAGGGCCTTGACGATCTGGACACTGACGCTGACGATGGCTGGGCAGGTAGGTTGCAGGCTTTCCTGGCTGCGGGCCTAGAACTGATGGCTTAGAAGGGCAGGAAGCCCCTGGACACTCTTGGCTAGACAGGAAAATCCATACCCCACAGACTCGGACAGAGGTCTTGTAGTCAGAACGGACAGTACTTCCTGGCCCAGCCACACTTGGGGTCGTTGGTCTTGATCTTAGTAGATGAGAAATTTCACTGTTAATTCTAAAAGGAAAAAAACACTTGATAATAGAAAATTAAAATAGTGAGCTCCCGAGTCCCCGTCACCAGCTTTAGTAAGTACCAGTGTTCTGCCATTCTTATTGTTTTATCTTTACCCCCTTTTCATCTGGGAGATTTTTTTTTCTTTTTTAGCTAGCTATAGGGCCCATGTGTTTACCACAGAGAACATGAGAAAGCACTTCCCGGGGGGTGGCCGTGCTGTAGTCCCTCTTCCTCTTGAGATTTTGAGCATGCGTGCACTTGTGCCCCCCCGTGTTGAATTTCAAGCTACCTGGTCCAGAACTCGAACCACAGTCAGCTCTGTGGGATCCAGCTGCCCAGCCACCAGCTACTGGCTGGCTGGATTTTTTTATTTTTTACTTATTTGGTTTCAGATACATTTAAATTAAATATTTTTTCAATGGTTATTATAATAGTTTTGTGTCCTTTGTAGAAAAATCTTTGCCTCTTCTTGATGGCAGAGATGTTCCCTGATGTTTTGCAGGTTTAACTACCATCTTGGGTCTTTGATTCACATTGGATTAACTTTTGTGTATGGTGTGAGATAGGGGTTCCCATAGATATTCACTTTCCCTTCTCTATTGAATTGTAGTATTGTGTTGATCTATTTCTGGGCGCTGTTTGTTCTCTTGATCTATTTGTGCATTCTTATGCCATTCTTATACCTTAAATTCAGATAGTTAAGTTTTCCAGCTGTTTTTTTTTTTTTTTTTTTTTTTAGAGGTTTTTC